TGGGTTAAATAAAATATATTATTAAATCTGATTTCACCTCTTTGTTTTTCTTTTTGTTAGTGTGTCTAATAGAAAATTGCAAATTACATATCTGGTTTGCATTCTGTTTCTACACGACAGCACAGAAGGATAAAACCAAACTGATAGCAAGGTTACCTCAGGAATAAATTTACAAGGAATGTGGTCAAAAAAGAATTTCTTTTTTCCATAACATTTGCTTTTTTTTTAAAGAGTCAAGGGAGCCCAGTTAAGGAGCCACACCCTCAAGCAGAGTGCCTGACCTTAAACAAGTCACCTCTCCTCTCAGCACCTCAGTTTTCTCACCTGTACACTGGGATAGTGAGAGAATCTACCATATAGGATTGCGTATGGATTGAATGTGTTAGCTTCTAAAGCACAGGGGGGGAAGCCTGGCACAGGCCTCATAAACATTAGCTATATTATTAAATAAAAAAACCTGATGAATGTTGGCAAATTATTGGTCCAAGGAGAATGTGTTCACATATTGCTTCTATAATGAAGAAATAATAAATAATAAATTGTGAAATAAAGAGCACCAAGTTTGAAGCCAGAGAGACCCACGTTGAAATCCCAGCTTTGCCCTCCCTAGCGGGATGATCTTGGGCAAATCACTTTGAATCTCTGAGCCTCAATTTCCCCCATCTGTAAAATGGGGGCAACCTAGCTCATAGGATCAGCAGGAGGATTGAAAAAGATCAAATATAGAACATGCTTGGTATTGGCAGGAGTTTGGTAAATAGTACTTGCTACATTCTTGCCTCTATTACAAGGTATAATTTCTCAGCCTCAGTGCAATGACCCAATGCCATGAATCAGAGCCCATGTGACTGGCGGCCTGGAGATGGCAGAAGCAGGTTTAAATCCCAGACTTCTCATGCTGCCTGGTCTTGACTGAGGCCTGCCCATCTCTGGGCCTCCGTCTCCCCATCCATAAAATGAGGATCCTGGCTTGAGTACCTCTCAAGTGTTTCCCTGAAAACTTCTATAGGCCCTCGAGACCTTTAAAATGCCTTAGAGTTTCACATCAGACTCTGTGATTCTTTGATATAAGAATGTCTTGTCTCCCAAAACAACATTTAAATAAAACAGCCTCCCAAAACAATCTAGTAAAATGAATGTTCCAGAAAGAAGCACTATGCCTAGTTTGGGGCTCTATTTAACTATCCCCTGCCCCCGACTCCCTTCTATATAAGAAGTACCAGGCTCAATGGTCTATGGACCCCCAAAGGGTCAATTCTCTTTTAATATATGTTTATACTTTTTAAAGTAAAGGAGGAACAATGCATGTACGCTGTAAAAAATAATAATAAAAAGAAAAGGAATCTCTAAGGGTTCAAATAGGCATACTACAAAAGTAATGTTCTCTTCGCCCCATCTCAGCCTTCCCAAAGGCAAAATCTACACATACTCCCACGTTTCAATAAATGTACTAATGGGGGCACGCTACACTCACTGTTTTGCACCTTCTTTTTTGTAATAGTGGATTTCATCCTATACGGTACGTCCCATTCTGTTTTACAGCTGCATAGCTGCCTTTACATGAGTGCATCATTTACGTAATCCACCTCTACTGGTAGACACGGAAATCGTTTCTAGTATTTGTTATTATAAGCAACGTGACAATGAATATCTTTATGTACGTG